AAAAGAAGATGAAAGCAGGTGTGAGTCTCTAGGTGTCCTCAAGCCCATAGTTTTCTATGTGGACAGTAGTTCCAATGGTATACCTCTCGATCTCTCTCTTGCTTGAAATTGTTTGTCTGCCCGCGTAAATTTGAATGGATCTGATTGTGTTTTTTTCTATATATTGTGAAACCTCGCAGATATGAAGACAAATAGGATGACAACCGTCCTATGGGATGTCGAGGATTACCCACTCCCTAGTTATTTCACTTTATTTGAGATTTTTGAGAAAATCAAGCATTCTCTTGAGCTGGGTTGTGATTGTAACTTGTGTATCTGGGCTTATGTGCCAGACTATTTGCTGCATGTATATGAGATTATGGCTGAGAGATTCAGATATGAGAAGAATCTGACGGCTGACAGATTCTGCTTTGTACCCAAAGGTGAGAGTTCCTTTTACTTAAATCGTCCTTTACCACTTTTTTTCTCTTTTGTACTTATATGTGTGTTTTTTTTTATATATATAGTTCCACGGGACAAATATTCAAGACTCAGTATGATGACACTCGACTTACTTTTGTGGGCAATTGACAATCCTCTAGGTGACCCAAATTTGATGGTAATCTCGAAAAACATGGATTCAGCAGAAACATTCTTCTACTTTCTTCTTACAGGTTTGGATGCGAGAGGCTTCACTGTTTTCTTAGTACTGCCTGGTGCTGTTGATGTCGCTCCAAAAGAAGCACCAGATCTTAAAATATTGCTTTGGGAGGACCTATGGTCTCGTCGAATCTCCAAAAGGCCTAAGTGCATATGATTTGTTGGATTCTGATATACCACCATAACTTTGTGCTCGTCTCTTGGAAATCGCAGAAAAGTATATATGTTTTCAAGTCTTTCAACATTTAAGCATTTGAAAAGAAAATAAATATTTGTCTTTGAATAGCATTTCAAAATATTTGTTTGAGTAACACTTAGACAATAAAATCTTTTAACCAATAATGATTTCAAAATATTATTATAAATTGAATAAGAAGAAATCAGTAACTCATAAAAGAATTCAGAGATTACTCTGCTTTAAGTAAGGCACAACGTATTTGACAACATCCTCATCGGCTATGTTGAGGTGATCCCCTGAAACACTCACATACTTGACTTTTCCTGCATCATCCAATGTTTTCAGACCAATCCAATCCTCTCTGTATAGCTTTGTCTGAATAATAGTAATAATAACACATTTTTAGATAACAAAATATTGAATGAAGAAATGAAACCAGAGAGAGAGAGAGGTTCACCTGTTGAGTTGAGAGAAGAGTATCAAATCCATCGTCTGGATAATATCCGAACCAAGAAGTTTCTTTAGGGATCAATGTTGTGTCATCCTCAAACTGTTTAGGGATCAAGAAAAGAAGAAGAATGAGCTAAGAAAAGAACATGTTTAATTTCAATCTCTGAATTGAAGTAAGGAGACAGAATAAGTACCATGACAAGAACCAAGTTGTGTAAGCTGGCGAAACGGTCTTTGAAAGTTGAGTTTCTTTCGTAAGGTCTCTCGTTGTTAAGCTTTGGTAGATACTTTGAGTGTTTCAGATACTTTGACATTTCCTGAGAAAAACCAATCCCATTGTGTTGAAAAACCCGAATTCGATATTGAACTGTAATAGGTTTGGTTAACTAAGTAACTTACGCCAGGGATCTTGACATAACCACTAGGAGCAATATGATCCTGCGTAGTCATTAATCAATCAAATCAATGATTAATAAGGTTGTTAAATCTTAAATCTTAAGTCATACTTACTTGAACGAAATCGTTATAGATCTCTAACTTCATCATAGCTTCAGCTATAGCACATATTGGACCAGACTTGACACAAACCAAAACACACATAATTAATTAAGCCATTGTTATCACTGATTAATAAGACTTAACCAACAAAGAGAAATGTGGTAAAAGTTTATACATCACACTTGGGGATTGCAGCGATGCCAGCATGAGGACCTCCTAAGGAGACATAGTTAAAGACAGGAGGAGCATTGTCGCAGAACTCGATAAGACCTCTAGCTACTAAGTTTCCTTGAGATTGTGCAACAATGTTGTAACCTTGACTCAACTCTTTCATTTCTTTCACTTTCTCACAAGCTACACTAGCTTGCTTCTTAAGTGGCATGAACCATGAGTCAAGCTCTCCAATTCCTATTTCTCTGCAAATTAATCTCAGAATCTAAATATCCCGTTTTAATAAATTAAGATTAATTAAAACACAATCTATAACTCAAGTGTTTAATGGTTTAATTACAAGCAAGAGCCAGAGGAGCCGGAGAGGTTGCTTAAGAGTTGCGTGAAGTTACCAACTCCACCAGAACATTTATCCCCAATTCCTGTTTTTTTTTTTTCCATTATTATCAATATTTATTCAATATAATAAATCTCTCAAAAAAAAAAAACTTTAATC